TCACTCATTTATCTTTACTTTACATAGTCTCTTCGTCGACTAAATTTAGCGAAAAACGGGATCACTGACAGAGGAGCAAAGTATTTGGCTAATGTATTAAAGAAAAACACGGTAAAAATCTTCTGAGGTTTCTACTTATTCATATCTTTATTGTTTGTAGACTCTGAATGTACTAAATCTATCACAGAATTGCATTAGGGACGAGGGTATGAAAAGTCTTGCTGACGCAGTATTAAGGAATACAGTAAGTTTTACCTTCTCATTTATATACTCTTCACTCATAAACTTTCTTTTTCAAGACACTTACAGATCTCCGTGTCGTCCACAATTCTAGTAGTTTGTGTGAACTGGTAGAATGTCTTGTATTCATACAACAACACAAAGTATGATTAGTTTTCAACGTATTCTTCTGTAACTATCTCTTAATATAGAACCTGCCACAGTTACACATGTCAGCACAAAATAGCATGTACAGAGACACATCGGAGAAGATGGGACACACAGTAGTAAAATATATCGGCACTGCCTTACGAAACAAGACGGTAAACTTAACCGATCATTGGTTTCGAATGTACATTCATATGATCTAGACTCTAACTAAATTATCGTTCAATGGTTATGGGATACAAGAGGAAGAATTTTGTTACCTTGCTGATGTCTTGCTTAATCAAAAAGTCAGTGTTCATCACGTGTTTCAATGAATCTCACTTATGACGATATTTCAAACTAGGAACTAAGCGAACTCTCTCTCGGTGGTAATGCAATTGGAACTCAAGGAGCATATTATTTAAAGCGTGTGCTAAGACATCATCAGGTATATAATACTGAGTGAATGTTTTTCTGCCGACCTGTTACTTTTTTATTTCAATCACAGGCTATCGTTGAACTCAATCTCTATGGAAACCATATCCGTGATCAAGGAGCGCAATGTATAGCTCATATGTTAGAAACGCATATAGTAAAAGAGCATGATTATTTTCGATTGATGTCGATTTTGTTCATTACAGGAATTGCAACGATTAGTTTTGGGATCCAACGATATCGGAAATCAAGGAGCAAAGTATCTCGCTAACGCTTTGCATAAAGTTCAGGTAGACATTTCTCACCTATCTCGATCAATGTCATTCTTTCGCACCATTAAATACTAGGCATTAAATGAACTCTATCTTGACCATAATAAAATCGGAAATGAAGGCGCACGATATCTAGCTGAAGCTATCCGAGATCATCCGGTATCTATCAATAATTAACTTTTTATTATCATCTTCTTTTTCTGCCCACAGACTTTGACTAGTATCGATCTTGGACTCAACAAAATCGAAGATCAAGGAGCTGAATATTTTGCTCGTGTTATAGAAACTAATCAAGTAATTATCAGTGATCCTATTCTATTTGACTTTGCTTTACTCTTTTATAGGTACTTACTAGCTTAGATCTTCAGAAGAATCAAATTGGTAACCAAGGAGCACAATACTTTATCAACGCACTGAAAAATAATACGGTAGGATCATTACTTGTCTCCCCAGATGAAACAAGCCCGATCGTTAACGGGCGTTTTTCATTGTATTTGACTCGTTTGGTATGCGCCGTATTACGACCGTATGTCTCCGTGTTGTAAATGATCAAATACGCGATTTTCAGGTCGTTTTTCACTGTTTCTGATCGTATACGACACGGCGATATACAATCATAATACGGGGCATACCAAACGGGTCAAATACGGGCAGTTTATGACCGTAGTCTTATGATTAACGGCCGTTTACGACCCGCTCACGACCATCGTAATGTTGGAACTGGGTCTTGGTTTATTTTATTATGACTCAATCCTTTATTTAGACGCTTCAAGATCTCCGACTTCAGGATAATAAGGGTTCAGACTGTCCAGCTGTTTCAGCTGTCATGAATATTCTTAAGGAATATGTAATTCATGGATATTTCATATCATTCTTGCTTATTTTGAATTCTACTCTAGTATTATACCACACTTAGCCTGAACTTCTATGGAATGGGAGATAATATCATGGAGTGGATGTCATCTCGTTTGCAAAAATTTGACGTAATAATTAACTAATCTTTTGTTCAAAAAGAATTTAACTTCTATATTTCCAGAAATTTGAAACGATTAGTCTTATTACAAATAAGATAAGCAATAGAGGTGCTCAATTTCTAGCTGCGTTCGTAAGAAAGTCAAGGGTAGTGATCACGATTACTTGAAATAAATCTTATTTGCATTTGAATATAATAATAGAAAATTGTTAACTTGGATCTTCGAGCTAATCAAATTGGGGATGACGGAGCTTCTCACCTTGCTGACGCATTAAAATATAATCAGGTAAGATTGACGATACTGGAGTTACGATTACATGTATTTTACAATTTCTTGTAGACACTTTCGACACTCAAACTTCGTGGAAACAATATTGGGCCAATAGGAGTAAAATGCCTGACAGATGCTCAACAAAATAGAACGGTGTGTCATGTTTTTTTCTATTAATTTGGTTCAAACATTTAACCAAGTTTTTTTTAGACACCAATCCAGTTCGATTTTACCAGTAAGAAGACTGACAGAATATTTCTCATTTTTTGAAATTATTTTTCACCAATAAGACTTCACACCTTATAGAACATTAAGAATAGTTCTGAGGAAAAACATATGATGAAGAATAGCATAGCGTGCACCAATTGATTCTTCTCCTTTTATATTTTCGAACTTTTTTCTATTACGATGTCTTTCATTTATTAATTCACTTCCATTATTCACATCGATTCTTTTAGCACTTGTTAATCAAATTGCTCATTATTTTGTCCTTTATAGATGCTGTGAAATTAATATGTCCGGACGGACACCCTCTCAAGTTGTACGATGATAGACAATATGATATAATTCGTAAAAAAAAATTTCCAATAAAATGGTTTCAATGCGATACATGCTCGAAATATAGCCCGAAATTATTATGGCATTGTGATCAGAGTCACAGAAATGAACCATTTAACATTTGCGAAGCATGTGCAGATCAACAAAACTAAACATCTTCGTCATATAATCATTTCAAAACAAAACTAGCAAATATGCAACAGAAAGACTTAATCACAAAATGTACTCTCGAAAAGTATCTATTCTTTGTCTATCACTTATACAGGTTAATCAAGATATAATAAAATAAAACAATAGTTAAAGTATACACTGATATTGGTAACTAAGAGGAAAGATGAGTAGTGAATATAACAAATAAGATCTAAATAAATAGAATAGTTTTATTATTGTTAAAATTTTTTCTTTTTGTTATCATCACATATATGAACAGCGGATATTCTACTTATGTCTGACCAAAAGTTCCCAGATTGTTAGAAAAAAAATAAAGACAAAGAGAAAGTTCGAGTTTTATTTTATTAAATGTTCAAAATAGTCACCATGATTATTTATACAAATTTCCATCCTTTCTAATAATTTGTCAAAAGTTTTTTAAAATTCTTCTTTTGGAATATTTTTCACCACCTTGGATACTGCGCGAGCTAATGATTTTTCATTTGGTTGATCAGTTAAATTCCGTTTGATGTAATCATTTAGCCAATAATCATATGGTGCAAGGTCAGCTGAATATGGTGGATGCGACATTATAATAATACCTTCTTCTGTTAAATAATTAATACCATCGAAATGAGGGTGTGGGTGTATAATCAAATCAAAACAGATCAACTTCTATTTCACGAAATAAAAATCAATCTGCTAGTCTCAACTTTTGCTTTTCAGCAACCGATATTCTGTCAACTATTATTATTTTTAAATAAAATAAAATGAAGTAAATGTGCTTCAAATAAAATAATGAAAAGATAATGCAGATAAATTATTTTTTTGCTAACGCGTTTCATGTTTATTTATTTAAAAATTGAAAAACTCTTCAGGGCACAGCATTATAATAAAAAGCACAAAATCAAAAGAAAACAAAAAACGAAAAATTAAAATTAAAAAACTAAAGGAAAAGTTAAAAAATTAAACCAAAAATTGGAATTTAAGTTTAAGTGAAAAGGAAAATTTGAGTATAAGATTAAATAAAGGCAAAAATTAGTTTAAATAAATACAAAAGTTACTGGAAAATTTAAATTAAATCGGGATAAAAGAAAATTTAATGGAAAGTTTAACCCAATTTGAAGAAGCAATTTAAATTAAAAGAAAACGAGTATTAAAAAAATCGTTTTGATATGCCGTTACGATTCTTATATAGTATAGTTTGTAATAAAGGACAATTAACATTTCAAGTTAAATATTGTATGTTATCATTTTTGTAAAGTAAAATAAATAAAATTATCATTATAATGTAACTTTTAAAAATCATATTGAAATAACAAAATTTGATTAGAATATATGATCGACTAACTTTAATTTTTGTAACTATAAAACTTATATTTTGAATTTTTCCTTTTAATTGATTATATATTGTAAGTTATAATTTTTGTAAAATAAATAATTATTGTAATTTAACTTTTAGTATCAATATTGATTAAGTAAACGGGATTAACAAAATTTAATTTTAATAGGTTAGAAGATATATGGAGACCAACTTCAAATATTAGGAACTATAAAACTTTTATTTATAATTTCTATTTTTAATTGATTGATACATTTCAAATTTCAAGTGAAGTAAAGTAGTTTATATCAAATTATATAATATTTTTATTAACAACATTCAAATATATATTGAATGAGAACAGCTTGTATTTTACGAAATAGAGGTCAATTTGCTACTAAGTATATTTTTGATAATGATTATTTTATAAAAAGACTTGTTATAATGTAATATTAATACTATAACTTTGATAATAAATTATGTAAAATTAATGTAATTTACTTACAAAAGAATAATCCGACTATTTATATACTATTTAAATTACTTTTAATGAATAATTATTCTTTTAAAAGTGAAATTCGTATTTTTATAATTTTGTAGTAATATATTGAATGTCAAAGTGACCTAAATAAAATTTTTATTTTTAATAACATTTTAAGATTTTGTATGTATCAATCTTCTTTGTAAGTTATTAACATTTCGAGTACCTAAAATCGGTTGTATTTCATTGATCGGAGATTCATGAAAATATTTGTTCCAAAGTATATGAAACTGTCGAGGAAATAACTTCATACTTGAACAATAAGTAAAATGTATAAAAATAGTTCTTTCATAATCAATTAAAGCTTTCTCTTTAATAGGAGTTGTTATAACTTTTTGACGGTTCTCGTTGTAGTTATTAAAAGATAATGGTTGGTCTATATTCCATTTTAATAAATTATTTTGAAATTGTTCTTCTATAAATTTATTCGGATATTTATTTAATAATAATGCCATTTTTAATCTTTCTCGTTCATCTACATATGCTTGAAAAGATGAGCAGTATCTTATAGCTCTTAATAACATAGTATGAATTATGTTCTTCTTCATATGAAAAGGATGAATACTATTGAATGGTAAATAATATGGTTCATACGATGGTTTCTGAAATATTGAAGTAAATAATACACCACCTTGATTTTCTATATGTAAATCTAAAAAATCTACTGTTAAACCAATATTTTCAGATAATTTAATATTTTCATCGAATTTATTCCATTGTTCGATTTGTTTCACTAAATGTCGAATTGACCAATTTATTGTTATAAATAAGTCATCAATATATCGAAAATATAATCCATTACTATTATAAATTTGATTAGCTATTTTTCTTTCAAAAAAGAACATATAGCAATTTGAAATGGTTAAAGTAAGAGGAGAACCCATAGCGCCTCCTCTAATTTGATGATAATATTGGCTATTATAGGAAAAATAATTATTTTTCATCACAAATCGACTTAATCGAATAATTGTTTCAATTTTAAGGCCACCAACTTGTTTTATGTTTAGATAATCTAACATTTTCTTTAAAGAAAGTACACCTTCAGTTTGAGGTACCATAGTATACAGATCGGCAACATCTATTGTACAAAATAATGTTTCTTGTTTTAAATTATTTCTAGACCATTCTTGCAGCTGTTTAATTAATTCAAATCCAGAATTAACAGTAGTTTCTGCAGCTATTTTATCAAAAAGTGGTCGAAGTAAATCATCAAGGAATTTTGATATTTTAACTGTTGGATGTTTAAGACCTGAAACTATTGGACGAAGAGGTGTACCCGGTTTATGGGCCTTTGGTAAATAATATAAATGAGCTAATTCAACTTCATTTGTATTGATACATAATTGCTCATATTGTTTTTGAGTAATCCATTTGGCTAATCGAAGATCTAACAAATATTTATTTGTTCTTTGGATTAAATCTGGTAATGAATCTTCTTTTCCAAGACATTTATATGCTTGCGTCTTCTCCATATATTCGTCAGATTTTTTCTTATATTCTTCAGATTCACCTAAATGGAATACTTTTGATTTATCAGATTTTCTTAAAACAGTATTAGCAATTTTCATTCTATATTTTAATCTTTTAATTAAACGATGATAATTTTTCTTTTTAAATGAATTTTTTGATAAATTTCTTATTGTATTCTGGGATTGACTTAATTGACTTTGAATTACCGTATTAATATTTGTATAATTTAAATTGTGATTTGGATTATTTGGATTAATATTTTTATTCTGTTTAGATATTGGTATATTATGTAATTTCTGAAGAAGAACATCTAATTCATCAATAAATTGTTCAACTGGACGACCAAGATTAATACCTTTTTCTAGAAAACGTGTTTCTATTTTACGTTTTAAGGTCGCTAATTCAGTTGTACGTCTTCTTGATGCTGTCTTAGGATCATCAAATATAAATCTTGGACCTAATCGGAGTAATTCATGTTCTTCTTCAGATAATTGAATATTTGCTTGATTTATGATTCCTGGAGCAAGCGAAAATTGTCGCCCAGGTCTCGAATTATAGTTGAAATATTTATAGTTTCGTTTCCTTTGTCTATATCGCTCTCGACTAGCTTTGCTGATAAAAAATGAATTGATTGTTCGGCTTCTAATTGAAATCGTTGTAAACGTAATTGATGATAATGTTTGAAAACTGCATAACCTATTTCAGCATCAAATCCATCATCATTTTCTTGTGGAAAGCCTTCAATTATACGATCGATTTCTTTAGTTAATAGTTCTTGTTCACGAACTAATGATTGTGTATATAATGTCATTGCTTTTATACGAAAATCTTTGGTAATTTCACGCATTTGATTATGTATACCTTGGACTTCTTCTGAATTAACAATTGATTCATCTACTTTGAATGATAAATCAACTTTTTCAATAAATTTTGGAAGTAAATCATATTCGACACGTTTGGTAGCTAGAAGAACATTTTGGTTTTTGGTTGATAAACTCTTCATTTTTGGTTTTAAAATAAGATGAAGATTCCATTGAGCTGGAGTAGCTATTTGCTCAAAATCTTCTAATGCTTTAAATTCATCCATTTGAACTTTGGCTAATTTTATACGATTTTCAGCTGATTTCTTAACATGTTGAGTACAATTCTGAATATATTTTAAAATACCTTCTTCAAGTCTATGTGTTTCACTACGAACACGTTCAGGAGTTAGTGTAGGAGTAGGGGTAGGAGCAGTTTCATCAGTGGTAACGGGTTGAGCATTTGTATTTGTATCAAGAATTGGAGTTTGCGTAGTAGCCTGATTATTTATATCATTACGTTTAGCTGTTCTTTTAGGTACTTGTGACCAATATGTTGCCAATTGAATTTGTAAATCAGAAATAGAGGCACATATTTGAACAATGGTTGATGTTATTTGATTAATTTTCTTTTGAGCAAAACGAGTACTTTCAATATCATCTCTTTTCTTTGTTCGACGAATAACATCTTTAGCCCAATGTTTCCTTTCGGTACCTAATTTTAAATATTGTTGCCAGCCTTGTAATTGATAATTTTGTCTGACCCATTCATCATAAAATGATGTTGTAGCTAACACATAAGCTTGATTACCACGTGCTTTAATAATTTCACCTAATACTTCATCATTTTTGAACCAAGCCAAAACTTTATTATTTTGAAGATATGCATATATTTTGTTTTTCTTTTTATCTTTCAAATTTTTCATATTTTTCTTATTATTGCTGTTATCTGTTGTAACAACTGTAGGCTCATGATTATCTATATTTGATTCAATATCAGTTGTATCTTCATCATTATCAGCTAATAAAGCAAATCGATTATTATTTCTAGTTTGACAATTTTGCTGTTGTTGCTGTTGACGATTTCTTTGTTGTTGACGTCGAAGTGCTGAACTTGTAGTTCGTTCCTGTTGATTCGAATTAGTTGTTGCACTTTGTTGTTGTTGATTAGTAGTTGTTGGATTATTTACAACAAATGGTTGAGTTGTATTATTAACGAATACAGCTCGTTGTGGTAATGCGTCTGGTGGTGCATTATTTATATTTGATTCCAAATTAAAATCAGGAGGAAGACTTGGTGATCAATCTCGTAATTCTGGTGGCATGAAGTCATTTAATCTTAACTGTCTTAGACGACGTTGACTTTGTCTTGTTTGTCGACTTTGACTTCTTATTTGCTTTAGATTTGAACGATTAATTGGTCGATTTTGACTTCTTCTCCTAATAGGAACTTGTTGTGGAATATATTGCATTGGTTGGTAACTACGATTGTAATAAAATCGTGGACGATAAAATCTTCTATTTTGACTGTAATAATTTTGATAATTAAATTGATTAAAATGATTCAATCGTTTATTTTGATAAAAATTGTTTCGACGATCGAATATAAACTGATTATTTCTTGGCATAAATCGATTATTGCCCCCTAACATATATTGATATCATTGATTGTTGCCCCCTAAAACATCACTACGAGAACGACTTCGATTCATACGATATATTGGCTGTGGTGGTGGTGGTGCTGTAGGTATTTGATTATTTGTATTATTATAAGTGATGGATGACATTTAATCGTTAAATAAGTTGAGAAATTAATGGATCAAATTTGAACAACAAAAAACAACGAATTTGGTCCTTGATTAAATTAATAAGCTGTAAAATTAAATCAAAACAGATCAACTTCTATTTCACGAAATAAAAATCAATCTGCTAGTCTCAACTTTTTCTTTTCAGCAACCGATTATCTGCCAACTATTATTTTTAAATAAAATAAAATTAAGTAAATGTGCTTCAAATAAAATTAAGTAAATGTGCTTCAAATAAAATTAAGTAAATGTGCTTCAAATAAAATAATAAACGATAATGCAGATAAATTATTTTGCCGACGCGTTTCATGTTTATTTATTTAAAAATAATAGTTGGCAGATAATCGGTTGCTGAAAAGCAAGAGTTGGGACTAGCAGATTAATTTATATTACAGGAATATAGATTGATCTGTTTTGATTTGATTTCACACCCACATCCACACCCACACCCACACCCTCCAATTTTCATGACCTGGGTTGCATTACATCCCAGTTTCTTCCTGTC